CCCACCAGCAATGTAAAAGGGTTCCAATTTCTCCACACTCTTACAAGTAAGTTTTAAAAATGGGTTTATTATAGCCATCCTTGTGAATGTGAAGTGGAGTGATATGCATTCTGGTACATACTGCTTTGTTACTTGGCAGGGATGCTGTTGGCTTTACATCTGGGTTTTGATATATTTTCTTTTCTTTCTTCTTCTTCTTTTTTTTTTTTTAACAATCCCAAGGTCCTTGGCTGTACCTGGGGCAATTCCATGAGATGCAAAGCTGGAGCCCAGGTAGCAGCAGTATGTTTTAAAGGCTCCCAGGTGGTTCCAGTGTACAGCTGAAATTGTGAGTCACTGTGTCATCCATCCAAGCTCCCCTCTCAGTTATATACTCTTTCAAATCAAAATTTTAAATGCTGTAGTGTTTAAATAGCTGGGCGAGTCCCACATTCATCTGGAAAAATGGTGAGGGAGTGATCCAGATTTTTGTCAGCCATTCTAACTCTAATAGTTAATGCCAAATTTTTAAGAGAGGAAGTGATTTCACCACAGTTGCACAGAGGAGGCAGGGAGGCAGAATGTCTCCAAGGGTCCTAAGTGAAATGGTGAAAAAGTTAAAAAAAAAAAAAGCTACTGCTTTTGATAGCCAAGGCAACTGCTAAGGGCTGCCAACTCCTCCCATCCCCAATCTTCCTTCAGGAGGAAGGTTGGGGACAGCAGTGTAATGGGTAGCCTCCTGGTGGTTCTTTGAGCCTGTGCATATTTCCAGCAGATGCCCTGGCTAACACTCCACTGCCACCACCATCACCATCACAGCCACCTTCCTTCTTTTTTTTTTTCTTTGCAGTATTGGGGTTTGAACTCGGGGCTTACACCTTGAGTCACTCCACCAGCCCTTTTTGGTGAAGGTTTTTTTTTTTTTAAGCTAGGGTCTCGAGAACATTTGCCAGGGCTGGCTTTGAACCAAGATCGTCCTGACTTCTGCCTCCTGAGTAGCTAGGATTACAGGTGTGAGCCACCAGCACCTGGCACACCTTCTCCTTTTTAATAAAGGGCTTTTTTCTACTTTTGATTTCCTTCTACTCAGTATGTAGTTACTATTGCTAATTGGGCAGGGCAGTGTGACTCTTCCTTTGACTTTATAAAACCAATCTTGCTGATGTCCAGCTTGGCCTGAAGGCTCATTGGTAAGCCCATTTGAAAAAGAGAGGACTACCTAACACCTAGCATAGTGCAAGCTGGCATTTCAGTGTAGGATTTGAAGTCACTTAATTATCTATATGTCACTGCCCTCCAGCCACACACCTCGGGACACACCTGGAGTTCAACAAGCTGAGTTTTATTCTCATTGAGGGAGATTGCGCACCATCTGAGCAAGAGGGAGGGAGAGAGGCTGACTTAGAGGATTTGCACCTGTGTCAGTTGGTTTTGGGGCGTGTTTAAGGGAGCCAGGTGATGCCCTGGATTGGATGCTGCCAAGGGTACTTCTGTGATTGAATGGCTTCACAAGTGTTCTCCAGAGGCATGCAAAATTGGAGCCAGGCTAAATCTGGGGTTTGTAGAGAAGCAGCAGACACTAGAATCATCCAGGATTGGGGGACATCTGGTCACATATGTGGTTTGAAGGAGGCTCATGTTTTGTCAGTATTCAGACATGATTGTAGAGTGATTTTGTGTCTTGTTCTGTCCTGGTCACAGAGTGGCCTCGCCTGATGCTGGTTTTCTGAGGAAATTGTTTCTGTTTTCACAGCACACCCAGGCTGCCCTGTGAACACATGGTCAGCTTCTGAAAGGCAGAACCTTGTTCGCTTTTTAAATGTTTTTTGGTGGGATTGGGATTTGAACTCAGGGCTTTGAGCTTGCAAAGCAGGCACTCTACAGCTTGGGCAACACCTCCAGTCCATTTTGCTCTGGTTATTTTGAAGATGGGGTCTTGTGAACTATTTCCCCCGGGGTGGCCTCAAATCACGATCCTTCTAATATCAGCCTCCCAAGTAGCTAAGATTGCAGGCAGGAGTCACTGGCACCTGGCTCCTCATTCACTTCTTCATTCTTCCCTTTGGGCCAAGAGCAGGGAACCGCAGGTCAAGGACGAATCCACAATATCTACATTTTTCACTGTTGGCAAGATTTTGTTGACTAGGGAGTTGTTTCAAGAATGCAGGCTTGTGTTAGAAATAAAGTCAGAGGTGGTCCATTTTCAAAGCATTTAAGCCTAGCCATTTACTTGTGTATTAGCTTGAGGATACTGGGGGAGGGGCAACTGATAAGGGGTAAATCACAATACAGTGAGGGAATGGGTTAAGTGCCAGAGAGCACATATCACATTGAGACCTTCCTGCTACAAAGGCAGATAACCACATAAAGCCCACCTCTAAAACTTGACCAATCCCAAGAGGCATATTTTGAATAACCCAAAAGGAATTATGGAACATGCAGTGAAAAGAATGGAAACCCCATAGTACTCGGCCAATGAGGAACTGGGGGAGAGACTTGCGCACTAGACAATCTAATGCTTATTGTGACATCTGCCAGGGTGTCTGCTCCTCAGGCACCCAGCCTTGTAAGGTTGTCATTGAAGTCTCACTTTCACTGTACTCCACTTGTCTGAGTCCATTCTTTGAGTTTGGACAGGTGAGTGTATTTGTCACAGTTGGTATGTTAGCTTTTCATGCTGTGACATAATGCCTGACATAAGCAACTTAAAAGGCTGAAGGATTTACTTTTGCTCACGGTTTTGGAGCTTCCAGTCCTTGGTTGGCTGGCTCCATTGTTTCTGGGCTGTGGTAAAGCAGATCATGGTGGAAGGCTTAGCACAGCAAAGTTGCTCACCTCTTAGTGGTAAGGTGAGCAGAAAAAGTGCCAGAAAGGGGCCTGGGATGCCTCCAGTGATCTACTTCCAACAGCAAGGACTCACCTCCTAAAGTTTTTATGGCCTCCCAAAATAGCACCACCAGCTGGGGAGCAAGCCTTCACGGCATGAGCCTGTGGGGGACATTTCATATTCAAAGCATAACTGTTGAATTAGAGAACTTTCTCCTACCTCTTTTGTTGCAGGATGAGTTAGTGAATACTCTGAGGTGACAATAGACGTGCAATAACATTTACCTAGTCAAGTGTAACACAGTTGATTATCACAACCAAGATGATTATTACTCTTGAAATAGCCCATGAAGCCAGGGGCCTAGGTAATAAAACTCAGGCAATGAGAACATGTTCCAGATTCCAAATAGGTACTCGTAGCCCAGTTGGAGGTGTGAAAAGAGGCCTGGAGCTTTTGATTCCTGTTCATGTCCTATCTTCTTGCCAGCATCACTGGTAAGTGGGACACGGATTGAGAACATTACCCCAAAAATGCTGATTCCACATTATGGTCCATTTATCTCTGTTGTTCTACTAACTTCATGAAGCTTTCTTGTTAAACTCCAAAATTTTTAAATGGCTATCTGATTAGTTAATGGCAAAGCATCTTGAGGTTTTTCATCTTCATTTGTTTTGTACCTTGCAAGAAGCAAGATGAAGCCCAAGTACTGGCACGGGGGTCGGGGGTGTGTGTGTGGGGGTGGTTCAAGCAGGAACCTGGGCTGCAGCCCCAGCCCCAGGGCCCTCCTGCACTGCTGAATGAGACCAGTTACATAATTTTCAATCCTGCTGTAAAATGAAAACGGCCCATGTTCAAAAATTCTTAAGAATTTCAAGAAGGCAACAGCAAATAATTAAATCAAGTGCAGGCATGTGACCTGTGATGGTGCAGAGCAGGGACTGAGGCACATCTGAGGCCTGTGGATGAGGAGCACTACATTCTGGTGGCCTGACTCCAGAGGAATGGCAAGAACTGGAGAATATCCCAAGAAGAGGAGTTGCAAGTTGACATTGTGGGACTGAAGGACCAGAGAGCAGAACAGCTGACAAAAGTAGGACCTGGGTTCCAAAGAAGGACGGAAAAACACGGAGAGCAACAAATGGGTGGCTATGGGTAAGAAAAAAATTAATGCACATGCTGTGAAGTGATTCAGTCTTTTTTTTATTGAGGTGCTGAGATTTGAACTCAGGGCCTACACATTGAGTCACTCCATTTTGTGATGGGATTTTTGGAGATAGGTTCTACAAACTATTTGCCCTGGGCTAGTTCTGAACCCCTATCCTCCTGATCTCTGCCTTCTGAGTAGCTAGGATTACTGGTGTGAACCACTTCTGTCTGGCAGTGCTCTAGTTCTTAACAAAAGTGGTCTGTTGAAGAACACTTGTGAAGACAGCTGGGTTCTTGTAAGACAGTGAAGGACTCAGCAAGTCACTAGGGTCTGCCTGGGGGAGAACTGAGTTGAATATCTAGGTGCTTCATGCTGTTGTGGAGATACAGGAGTTCACTGATCTAAATTTTGTCTAGTCATTGCAGCAGTTTCTGTGGTCAGGAGAGGCACGGAAGTCTGTAGAATGATGGAAGCATTTGCTCAGGGATATTGTCAGTGCAATAAAGGAGGGTTTTTTTTTTTTTTTTTTTTTGTCCACAGACACTTCAGCTTTCTCTTCTCTCATCTTGTTGAGTACCAGCCATAAACTCAATGTCAAAAATAAGGCCACGGAAAAGGGTCCATAGCCATGAATAGAGGTACCAGACAGGAGTCCTGCCAGAGGAGCTCCCACAAAGGCAATTTCTCAGCTTAACATTAGCAATAACACTGCCCTGTCACTTGCTTCCCTTCCCTTCCTATTTCGCCTTAAAATTTAATTCCTTAAATGCCCAAGAGCGTTCTGTTCTCTCGTCAAATGCAAAGCAACCCCTTGCTCATAATAATGGCAATAATAATCCTAATGGATTTTACTGTTGCATTTTATTAAGAAGAAAAAGGCAAGCAATACTTTGAGACTATAGGGGTGGATTCTAGCATTTTATTTTCTTCATTTGGCCAGGAAATAAGAGGGATCTGGGAGGGGGAGGCATATAGGGAAGTGTGTGAAGTGGGCCCTCCGGAAGTCGCGCTGCGCGGTTTAAACCTAAGATGACCTAAGGGATGGCGGGAGAGCGGGCCCCAGCCTCGGCGCAGGGCGCGGGCATTGGTGACGCACGCCGGAGAGCAAGGCGCCCACGTTTCCACCATTAGCGAGGCCTCACACCCAGCGCTCCAAGTTCGGGGCTGGAGGCCTCCCGGCTTCTTCCTCCCTCCCCGAGGCGGGCCGGCCCCGCCCCCGCGCCCGCGCCCCGGGTCGCTCGCGGCGGCCCCGCCCACCTCCTACTCCTGGCCTCCCCCGGCGCAGCGTACTCCCCGCCGGCCGCAGCCTGACACGCCGCACGGCTCCCAGTCTCCCGCGGCCGCCTTCCCCAGGCATGGCACAGGGCCTCGCCTCACTATGGCAGCAGCACGGCACAGCACGCTCGACTTCATGCTCGGCGCCAAAGGTGAGGGCGCCGGCCGCCACCTGCCCGGCCGCCCCCGCCACCCAAAGGGCTTGGGGCCGGGGCTAGGCGGGGCGCGCGCGGCGGGCTGAACAATGCGGGCGGCCGCGCGGCGCCTGCGTCTCCCGGGCTGGCGCGCTGCGGGGCCTCGTGCACCGGCGCCCGGGCGGAGGCCGAGCTCCTCCTCGCGCTGCACACGGGTTTGCGCGGTGCTCTGTCCTGGCCATAGTGCGGGGCCTGGAGGGACCGCGTTGGTGTCCGCCAGCCGCGCCGCCTTTCTGGGGCCTGGACCGTCAGTCCACGCTGGCTCTGTCCCCGCGCCTCCGCTGGCCTGCACCCCAGCCGGGGAGGGGAGCCTTTCAGGCCGCTCGGGGCCGGTGGATCCCCCGTGGGGTTAGAGTGCAGGGAGCAGTGGAGAGAACTCGGCGTGACTCGCACAACGGGCCTGGGTGGGGGGCGTGCGCGGCGCGGGGCTGCCCTCACCACCTTTTCCTGTGCTTGTAGGCGGGTAAATTTCCCTTTTGGGGGTGGGGGTTTCCCCTCGTGGGGAGCTCGGGCTGGAGAAGTTCTATGGTCGCGCAGCACTTGGAGGATTCTTAGCCCATTGCGTAGGAGACGGGTCCCCCGGAAAGGGACTGGGGGACGGGAAAAGGAAGCGTTTATTATTACTGGAGGTGGGGAGGGTTAAGGTCTCGGCGCGGGAATTACAATTCCCAAAATCGGGGAGGCTCAGAACACAGCCAGCCATACCACAGAAGGCTGGGAAAATGGGAACTGTGCGCAGGAATTTTGAAGAGGAGGGCCGCTTTGCAGGCTTCTATTCTTCGGATGCCTCCAGCATAGGCGCAGGGGGCTGGAGGGATAGGACTGCCAGTTCTTTTTCTGGTGGCCTTTAAACTTGTGAATTCTGCGGACTTGGTTCTGCACTCCCGGGGCATCCCGCTTGGAGAGTATCTCCCACCTTGCATTTTCAGCGTTTTCTCCAATTAGATGGAGCACCCTTTTCTGTTACTATTTTTAACACTGACTTTGTGAACTTCTGAGGACTCATTTTACATTTTCTCCTCAAATCTAAAGGATGTCTCATGGCACAAGGTTAATAAAAAGCCTCCGGATTTGGAACAAAACTTAGGTTTGAATCCTGTTTTGCTTTGTTTTGTTTTTTCTCATTGGCTCTACATGTGACCTTCAGTATTTCTCAGGCTTTCTGAGCCTCATCTTTCCTGTCTGGGGAGGGGAGGGAAGAGAAATGAAAAAAGTGCATACCTCACAGGCTGTAAGGGACTAGCTGTGAACTATAGGGTTGTTAAGCAACTCCTGTATTTGGGTGGCCTGAAGTGACTTGGAGAGAATACAGCATCTTTTAGTTCCCACATTTCTTAGGTGAGGATGAAGGGAAAGGAGACTACTGGGAAGAATCTGGAGATAAAATGGTGTTAGGGTCGTGGAGCTGGAGGGAGTATAAGATCACTAAGGTTTTGCTGGGAAGTACTTTGCCAGCTTTAGGGCTGAATGGTTAGTGGAGGCTGTAGTGGTTGGTGCATCAAACTCACCTGCTAAAGGGTGAGCTTGGGAAGTGTCCCTGGGGTAAGCACCATGGGAATGTACCCGTATTTATCCAGTATGGGTGTTCTTCTAGACTTTAGGGAGAGCGATCTCCCATTTGGGCCAGAAGGTTCTAGCACTTCTTCAGTCCTTGCCCCAGAGCCCTAAACCTCCTTCAGCTTAATTCAGGTATTGAATCTTGCAGTGCTGGCCCCAATGGGTTGCTTCTGTTGTGTCATTCTGCAAGTGGGGAAAAAAAACCTAAGAAAAATTCCAGTGTCTTGAGGTGGGGCTGGCCAGAGAGTTTGGTAGGAAGAAGGAGAAACTGGCAGGTTCTAAGTTGGCAGGATATGAGCGTGGCATCTAGATGTAGTTGTGCAAAGAAAGTAAAGTAAAAAAGATTGAGGACCAAAGAATATGTGAGAGGTCACATGTAAAGCAGGGTAGAAGGCTCTTAAGAGGGAAGGACTAAACACTGGCTGTTAAGATTTTCATCTTCAGTCTGTTATTAATCAAATATAAAGCTTTAAGGGCAAGGTGAAGAGCATTCTAGAAAAAAGCACTACACATAGTAATGTGTACATGTATGCAACTGTGTCAGATCGAGTCCTTACAAAAGTGTTCTGGAAGAACTGTATCACCATCCTGTCACTTAATTTGGTGTGAAGGAATCCACATTTGGAAAATAAGAGGATCTGACTAGATTAGGATTTTCCGAATTCTTTTCCTTTTCAATAAGGGGTACTTGGTGAGAAATCCACGTGTGAGGTCTCTAAAAACATTTATTTTAATTGATGATAATGAGTCAAAAGGCATTACTCTTGGCATGTGAGTATTGGATGTGACTCAAGGGTGAGTCAAATGCCTATGGAGCCTGGATTCAAGTTCTTTTTTTCCCCATTTGTCAGTAATCCTTCCTAATGCTGCAGTTCCATGATGTGATTTTAGGTGAATTAAATTTGAACCACTTAGTTACATTATTATGCTGTGATTCCATATAACTTAGTTACCAATGCAAGCCAACAGCACCATCAGACCAGACCTCCAAGCGCAATGGCTGTTGGGGCCTGGTGGTGCTGTTTAATGTTTTGGTTGATGAGGTAACCCTGAAAACTGTTTTTGCTTTAAAAATTTTCATCTTTGGTCATTTTGTAAGTGAAATATTGAACTCTGAGGACTCCTGAGCTCAGAAAAGATGGTGAGAGTTTTCATCTTGAGGCCAACAAGAATAAATGGGTCCCATGCTGTGATACAGTTTCGGCATCTAAACTATTTAGGGGCTGGTAGAGGACACATGCTTTGTTCCTGATGCCATACACTAGGTAGGGTGCTGGTTATGCAGAAGTGAGTGACAAGCCAAGGCCTCTCCCTAGCCCTTTAGAGCAGATAGTCTCTAGCTGGCCAGTCAGCTCTCGAAAGGTCTGGCAATCCTGCATCCTGTGTCTAGTTTTTCCCTTTGGCTGGGCATATCTTTGAGGGGTGACATCTGGGGTCTCTGTCCTGGACACACCTCTGGTAGGCGGTTGATAAATGCTGATTAAATGGCCCAACTTTATGTTACAGTAAAGATGGAATGCGGGTTCACATTCCACTGATTAGAATTAGGAGGATGCATTATGAGTTTGGAAGCCTAATGCCGTTAGGCCTGTCTTTGGGACCAATGATTATCATTTGTGTAGGGAAGTAAAGTGACTTGTGTCACTCAAATTCACAAATTAATTTTATAGCAGAAACCATGCCTAATAGGTTAAGAAGAGAAGACTGCTTGGGTAACATGGACTTAGCAGAAAAGGTTTGGTGGAGGGGTTCTTTTGTGCCATTGACCCTCATCAGGGAAGCTTTATGGACCACTTTTTATTTGTTTATTTGCAGTGCTAGGAATTCAACCCAATGCCTTGCGCATGTGAGGCAAGCATTCTACCACCGTGCCATGTCCCTGCTGAGAGTAAGCATTTTAAATGCATAAAATATCCCAATTATTTAAAACTCAATTTTCAGAATTCAGCTCCCACCCCCCCCCCAAAGTAACATGCACTTCTTATTAACAGATGAAATAATAAGATGTAGCAGCAGGACTAGTATCTTACATAATTTCAAAGGAGAGTCTAGCAAAATTAGTATTTCAGTCATAATGTATGGTATGAAAACATCTGATTTTATTGGTGATAATGACCAGGAGTCGTTTAAGGTGTGGTTTTTGGCCTTCAAGCATAAAAGAATTTTCTTCTAAATTTCAGTTAGTAAAAATAGTGATGTATATTTTTCCCACCCAAGTTCATAGACCCCTTGAATTGGATCTTTTGGCCCTTTGGGAGCCCTTAAAGCCCAAGTTTAAACCCCTAGTTGGAAGGAGAGAACCAGAACTCCCAGTTCTTTATATTACATGTTTCTCCTTCCTTGGAGTAGGTTTCTACCCAAGGCCAGTAGTGTAGGCAAATCTTTGTGATTCCTCTTCAAAACATGTCTTTGAAAACATAATATTTGCTACTTAATTAACTGTGATAGGTATTGTCCCTATTTTTAAAGATTAATAAATAGGCCCATTGAGATTTTTTTAACTTTTTTTTTTTTTGAGACAGGGCCTTGATATGTAGCCTAGGCTGGCCTGAAATTTGCTATATAGCTCAGGCTCGCCTCAAACTTAGGTCCCCTTCTACCTCGGCCTTCCAAGTGCTGAGATTACAGGTGTTTACCACCATTCCTGCCTTGAGATTTTCAACTTTTAATTGGTATAACTGGAATTCAAGGCCATGTCCATTTGATTGCAAGGCCTTCGCTGCTTCTGTAAATGTGAAACCTTGTAGTTCAAAGGCTTTGACTTTCAGTAGAGTGTTCCATCATCCCCCATGCTGTGGGGGACATTTGGTGATTTCTGTAGATATTTTTGGTGTCACAACTGGAGAGGTGCTACTTGTGGCTAGTAGGTAGAGGACAGGGATCCTGCTACACATGTTAACAATGTCTCTCCCGTCCCCAAGCATTGAGAGCTCAAAATGTCAGTAGTGCCCAGATAAAGTTTTAAGTCGACTAGTCATCTCTGTAATCCTGGTGACAAACCATCAGTCCTTTTTGGAAGTTTCCATTATGTGTATAAATTGTTAGGGAGGGAGGATGGCCCCTACCTTTCTCCAAGGTGTTAAGAGCCCAGGGTTTGGCCGGTGTTTCCTGCTTCCTACCCAGCAGAGCCTGAGGCTTGACTAGCCCCTTCTCCCTGATTTCCTGAGCCATTGACCCTTCCCATGAGTTTCCATTCTCTAGGGTGTTTGATGAGCTGCTTTCTGGTGGAAGCATATTTTCGTTGTCTGATTTTAAATAGCTGTAACTAAGAATAAAACCCAAACACTTCAATTGTGATTGCATTTAGCTTGTTCTTGTTGCTCAAGAGTAGGAAGGGCATCTTGCCATACTCCTTCATCATTGTCGTTACCCTCCTTGCGTTATACTCCATCCCTCTTTGT